TAATACTCTACCTACCCTTCTCTCTCTCTCTCTCTCTCTCTCTCTCTCTCTCTCTCTCTCTCTCTCCATTTGGGTTCTATGTATCTCTCCATATTGTTGGACTGCACCACCATCTTTCTCTATCTAGAACATCATTCTTAGATACCACTTTCATTATTCTTTTATTGCCCCTTTGTTTCTCTCTCTAGAGAAGAACAGCTTTTTTCTCTCCAACCCCGAACTCCATCAACCCTTCCTCCTTTTCCTTGAGATAATGGAACCCCCGGTAAAAAAGATAATGGCTCTAATAAGAAGGGTATAAACCATGAGGAAATTAACAACATCATCGAGGATTTGTTGAAATTACTGTATTTAGGAAGCTTGTTTGATATCAAGTCTCAAAATGAGTTTACTTCGATTATGCTTCCTAGGGTTTATGAGAGGAGCTCTTGCTTGACTTATGATCATGTGACTGATGATGCAACTTTTTTGTTGGTAGAGGGAGACTTAGATTTCTCTCTCTTTGTGGGACATTGATGACTGCGCAGCCCCCGAATTAAAAAAGGGGGGAAGAGAGAGAGGATTTTGGTAAGAATGGTTTTGCAGGTAGTTGCACAAGGAAAGAGAGGGAGAGGAAGAAGAAAGGGGAGGAGGTGGGAGAGAGGGGAGGGGGGGGGGCGGGGGCGGTAGCTAAAGGGCAGCAGTGGCCAAATCACACATCCCTCTCCTCATTTTCATATCTTTGGCTTTATTTATTTTTATACGTGTACTACTCGGGCGAGTTAATCGGTCTCACCTGAGTAACTCGGCGAGGGTTGAGTACTTCGCCCAAGCCGAGCTTCGAAACATTGACCAAGGTTATGAATTCCATACTAGATATGAATCTCTGAGATGTCACACATATCCCAAACTTAATACATAACCAAGAGTCCTAATCTAGTTGGGCTTTGACGGGCATCTCAACTAACTTAGGAAACTTATCAATATCAATATCAACATCAATCCCATGTAATATGGGATCTCCTTTTGGTGGTTCTTTTGGATATCACCATATTCAATAATTGCAACAATCTGATGCTTAATTCTATAGTTACACATAGCTTCAGTTTTTTTCGGGAAAGTGACATAGCTTCAGTTGTAAAAGGAAAAATGCAATTATCTTCTGAGTTATACACTACAATAAAGCTATTCCAAAGACATCAGTTTCAACTCTCAGAACGCATCAGTTTCAACTGGGAAACCTACTTATGAAATCCCTAAAAACACGATGGGCATGAAGCATATGCTATTCTTCAACCTAATGAATGATGCCAGCTCTTTTGCAAGCAAAATTATTTTCTTTTTTTTTGGGTTCATTTTCATTCTATAGCTTTAGGCCATGGGAGCAATAGTCTTGCTCTAAATCAGGAAATTCTAATTCAAATATTTACAAACTCTCATAAATTTCAGGGCAAATTGATTCCTGCCCTGTCCATGTCTTCAATTCTCCATGGACTCTATTCACACTTGATAATGACATTTTCCCTCAAGGCCTCAACATGGTTTAATACTTGTACATCTAATTCGAGTGATGAGTTAAATAGTCCATGAAAACCAACAGCCCATCTCTTGTGGCACCAAGAAGAGTTAGCAAGTGGCAAAAACACAAAAAATGTGCACGCATAGATTGTGCAGGTTTGTGTGCATCACAATATACCGAAAAAGTCTTGATATTGCTTATAAATTATCAGAAAACTCTGAACTAGAAACCAAAAAAGAAAAGAGAGATGCATGTACATACCAGGAAGTTTTTTCATGAATCTCGGTGAGCAACGAAGAACCAGAGCTCTCTTGCGAAGGTTCACCAACCGCATAAGATGGTAGAGATCCTCGTTCTCAAGTTGAGGAGGCACCCCAAAAGCAGCAACAAAGAGCAGCAATCCTAAAGCATCCATGCCAGTGGCCTTTGCAACCCCACCCTCCTTAATTAACCTCTCCCTCCAAGCAATTGAAACACTCTTTGCCTCCTCCTGCACCACGCTTGAAACCTCCAAGCTAGATGCCACAAAAAACTCGAGAAGGAGGATACAGGCCCTGCGAATCCCAATGAGAGGGGAGTGCTTGCTGAAAGCATTCACATGCTGCAAATAGAACCCTCCCATGCAATCCAATATTAGCTTGGCAGGATCAGGGGCTGACATTAGGGCACCGGGTGCCATTTTCCTTATGCTGTCTATTTGGCTTAGATTAATAGTGACAAATCTCCTGAGAGCCTTTCCATCCATCTGCTTGCACAGGGCTTCGAAACTTGACTGAAGAAGCTCTTCTTTTCCGTCATTCTTACTGTTTTTTTCTTCACCATCTGCCGTTGAATTTGGGTTCTTGTTCTTAGTATTGGAGTTTGTGGTGGTGAGTCTGGAATCTATGGCTTTGTGAATGGAGTTGAGGTGGGTATGCAGCTCGTTCCAGCGAGCTGTGAAATTAGAGAGAGCCGAGGAGAGGCTCTGTAACTCGTTTACGGATTCAATAACTGAGGTGGAGGAGCTCATCCCCTTCTCTATAGATGAAGACTTAGGGTTAGGGTTACTGTTCCCAGACATTGAAGAGTTAGGGTTTGGGCTAGAGCTCGGGTCTAGAAGCTTGCGTGCATCGAAGCCTGAAATGGAGAAGCAATCAGCCCTGAAAGTCGCACAAAAACCCTCCCCTCTCTCGTAACTCTCGAGTAACTTCCAAGCAGGAATTTATTTGCGGGGTCGTGTTGTGGAGCGTCAGCGGCCGCGGCTGTTTGTATGTGTCTCTCCTTCAATGGCCTTCCAACTTTTCTTTTTCCTTCTCAGGCAGGGATTTGAGATCCAAATTTTCGAGGTTCGGAACAGGCGGTTTTGCATATTAAAATGGCATTTCTCTACGGTAAAACACCAATACGGATTGCAGATTCACCAATCTGGGCTGGTTTTTTGCCGGTTCACTCTTTTTTCATGTGTTTTTTTGTTGATTCAATATTTTTTCACGTAGAAAATGGCAATCCCGATTGTTACGACTGGCCTTAGCAGAAGAAGAAAAAAAATATATTCCCTTTTCGTAGTTTATTTTTTAAGATAGATTTGGTTTCCATGAGTCCGGGGACTCATGTATGTGTATCCCCTTTTCGTGGTCTAGTTTTTAAGATAGATTTTGGAGCTAATTTTTTTGGTGCGTATTGTCTCCACCATGGAGAATGTGTATACATTAAAATATAAATTTAAAAAACTAAAACAAAAAAATCAAACTATTGATTTTGCTTCCACATCCATCTTTAAGATGGATGTCATCGATCTTTAAAATGGATGCATATGTAATTTTGCACCCCTTAAGGCATAGAGCACTTCACCCCTCCCAAAAAAAAAACAAAAAACCAAAAACAAAAAGATCAAGGTTAAAATTTAAAGATATATTTGAACTTTTTGTTGCACCATCATTTTGCTTTGTCATATTTCGTCCCAACCGCGCAAAAAGATGGGATATAAATAGCGAAGTTGTCTTTTATTTATTAAAATTGTGCTTCACATCCTAACTCCGGGCAACTCTTTTTCTAGACAATCCCGCAACTCTTTTTCTAGACAATCCCATAAAAAAAAAATAGACAGAGGCTATTTACTTTCAATATAAGTATTTTTAATATAAATATGTTACAATCATTTAGCTAACATTCAAAAAAAACAAAAGCAAAAAAAGTTGCAATCATTCTTGTCTGACAAATTTCAAATTGAATAGTTGTAAATGTGTCATTGATTAAACTCAAAATTTAAAACAAAAAATTCTACAATTTAGATTAAAAATCTATTTTAAGATAGGCTTAATTAGGGGCTGCATATGCATGGTATGAGCTCATACATAGATGCCCCATCCTAAGGAGCTAGGCACTCAAACGTACACACCTCATGGCAAGATCAAGGGGCAAGCACGGTACAAGTAAATTAACAACAACAACGAATAAGAGAATTCACTCTGGAATCACTCTGAATTCACTCTGAATTTAAATGAAGTTAAAAAAAGAGAAAAACTAATCCAATCACAAAAAGATTGCACCAAGCTCGATTGATAATAGATATTTGTCAGTAAAGAAGGTTTTTGAGATAATGGGACTAGAGCTGTAAATCCCTTGTTGTTGTGGCTCCCTACATTAGATTAAAATTACCCACTGCTCCAGACAGTATTTTCACAAGCTTTCCTCATACAACTCCTTTACCAGACATGATTTACATTACGATTTCGCACGATTGTTGTGGGAACTAAGGTCAAAGATACAGGTTAAAGAGAGAGACAGCAGACGTCATGGGATTCAGTCCAATTCAAAAATATGAGATATGAATACAATCACAACCCCTTCCATCTTCAATTCAGATGCATCAAAGCTGAATCCGGAGGCTAACGAATACATGTCGTTGTAGAAAATGTTTGGGTTTCTTCACCCAAAACATTTCATGCCAGCTCCACGGCATTGCAATGCATAAATAAGGCATGCATTTCAAGTAGGCACCCGAGACACCACCTGCCAGATCTCAATGGATCAATGAGGGACACTCAAAGTCGAACTCTATTTTGAACTCCAACTCATTTGGGTAAATATTAGAAAACTTCAAATCCAAATTTTGGACAAAATAGGCAACTTAATGATACCTTTTCCAGCTTTTGACTGAAAATGAACTCTACTTCCCTGCGAAGAACCTCGATGTCCCTAACATACTCTCTCAGGTCCTCATCTGCTAACAGCTTCTCAAATTGCTGTCTCATCTTCTCGAGGGCTTCACCCAGATTGCAGAAATCCTTAAAGACCAGAGCCTCAGTGGTGCTGAGTTGGAGAAGGCTCCTAATAGCCATTAAAGTCTGTATAACAGAAACAAAATCCATGACTTCAACAAACCAAAGCAGAAGAACGAAAGAACCTAAGCATATCACATATCCAACATTCAATTTGACAATATTATTATTTTTAATCTGTTAACTGCATTATATTAATTAAAGGAGAGTTACAATGGTACAACAATATTATTATAAGCACATTATTTACGATGCATCAATATTTGGTAAACTTCTTACCAAAATTGCAAAAACTAGCACAGATTGGGAATTCCAAATGGAGGTTAAAAGATAATATAAAATGTACTCTGAATATTGGTCAAAGTCAGGCTCAGTTAGTCTGTATTGGGGCCGAAATAATGCAGAAAATATGCATGCATGGCAAATGTTAAAAAACTTGGTTCTGGCTCAGGATGTGGCTCCTGCATGAACAGAGTAACCCGGGGGAGTCCAATTGGACTAGCTAGGATTCTGCACAAAGCCAAAAGGGGCTCTGCATGAGGCCAAAAAGGGCCAAAAAAATGCAAAAAAAATACAAAAAACAGTTTAAATAAGTAAAAAAGCAAATAAGTCATAAACATCATTAAAATTCTATAAAAGATGGAAAAACGTATATAGAAGATGGATTATGAAAAAAATTGATTTAAAGCTTGAAACATTTAAGAAAAAAAGGGAAAAATAGACAGAGCATAAGCAAGAAAATTCACAAATCATCATAAAAATAAAAATGCAAAGTATATAGAACAAGAAGTATATAGAACAATAATATTTTTAAATTATTTATTAGTGATTTATTAACAAAATTTTTGATTGGTGAATTCAAGAACCCTACCTAGGCAGAGATACCTTGGAGGAGCGGAGTCGACCTCGCTGAGCTATGAAACATTGATGCATGTAGTCAATCCCATTAGTTCCAGTCAGGTCCTAAATTGAATTTCTGACCCAATTTTAAGTTGTAATAGAATGGCTGACTATGTGGCCTTTCAAGGCCTTAAAGCCAATAGTCATTTGGAAGCTAGAGAGAGAGACTGAATCTAGGTGCTTGGCGCACTGAGGCCTAGATTCATATATTCCCGGATATTTGAAACATTGCGAGTATACGTTTTGATAATGTTAGCTCTTAGGGAGGTGTGAGGGTTACCTCCCAGTGAGGACAATATTAATTGGAATGCCTCATAGTTGATGTGATATGCCGGGGCTTGAAGAATCCAATCGAGAATAATAGAATCGAAGTATTTAAAAGAGTATTTGCCCTATATGGAATGGTCGGCTCATGGTACATGTGCCCGTATCCTAACATGAGACCGTTTCATGGCATGTGCACCCACAATCGTATAGGGAAACCACTCTTCTATAGTATAATCTAACTTAAAAGAAGCTAATACACATGTGCTTTGATATGACCTCTGTATTTGAGTATGAACATGTTCCACAGGGGTGCACCAGTAATCCATTGAACCCCTGGTGACAAGAAGCTCCGACTCAAAGACTTTAATGTGACCAATTATATGTCCATGCCATAGACTGTAGAGCATAAGTCCGTTGGGTCGGCTTGAGACACCGGTAGAACGTCATTCGGGTTAGCCTAATGGAAGACTCTAACTAGTGTTATAAGTCTAGAGATCTCATTTACCTTTCGCCCAAGTTAATCTAAAATCGATGAGAAAAGTTTTTATATTGATGAGAAAATGTGTAATAATGTTGAAATATCATTTGGAGAATTTTTGGGATTTTTTGATAATTTTTCAGAATTTTTAACACCAAAAATTTTTATTTTTAAATCGTTTGGCCAAAATGACGATCGAGGACGAGCCATGGGGATGCCACGTGGGTCCCAAGTGGCCATAGGGACGCGACATGGCACCCCCACACTCCCTTAGGTGCTGACATCATGCTGATGTCACGCCCATGCGTGGGGGGCATCGTTATCTTTTGTTATTTAATTATATTATGTTTTATAATGTGGTGACTTAAATGAGTTATTTTGTCACATGGTGTTTTGTTCACACATGTGATTTATTTGGCATGTATAAAGTTATGGGTTTTCGAGAATTAATTTGATTTATATTATTATCCACATATGATTTTGTGGCATGCGGTATATCTTATGTGGCACCACTTTATGGGCTTGACCCATGTGAAACTTTAGTAATGTTGAAATCCTATTAATGATGTCATAAGATATTTTATTAACATGTATGGATGTCCCATAATACTTTTATGTCCATGTCCTTGTCTTTTATTGACTCTCATAATTATTCAAAAACCATGAGCATGAGTGTAAACATGAATTTGGACTTAATGAAAAATAAAACATAAAGTTTTAAAGTAAAATGACTATAAACCTAGGTTTTAAGGAGTGAAGGGTGGCAAAAGCTCATCCATTGATCTTGGTGATAAGATATGAATGAGTAGCTTGGATAAAAGCCTCTCATGTGCCATTGACTTAAGGTATCAAGGATAATATCAAATCCATATTTATGATCTAAGTATAAAATTAGCTTATGGGATCAATTATAACCCTAACTTGTGTATTCACTTCAAAGAGAGAGAAAAAACCCCCTTGACAAAAACATGACCACCCATGAAACTATCTTCTTCCTTTAGCTTTAATTTGAAACCCTTTCATGAAGTAGTCCCTCATGTGTGTGATCAAGCACATACTATTAATTCACTAAAGTACTGATTTTTCTTCTTATATTTCAATTCCTACCTCATTTCTATTATCAAAGTTTGCTGTAATTCTTAGTTTACAGTAGCTTTCTTCATTTTTGGTCGTGAAAACTTAATATTTGAAGAGTCCCAAAGTAACAGTGTAGTCCATGCACATAGTACGTGTAGACTAGCTTGCTTACTCCATAATCTTGAGAAGTTTCACCTTAATTTTCTTAATCTTATTTTTTTGAAATTTTTACTAAGAATATACAACTAATGAGAGGTATTTGAGCATACGAAATAACCCCTTGAGTTCTTTTTTTAATGTTGAAAAGTTTGTGTGGTCCCTTATGGACCACATGGTGAAGTTTCTCCATAACTTCCTTATGTTTTGTAGTGTCTCTCTCAAACTTTGAAAGGTTGTTTTAATACATCTCTTTCATGATTTAATCATCATTAAGTAAAATAAAAGTGATCATTTGCTTCCCATTGAATTGATCTCCTTGAGTTATTATTATCACCCGTGCCTTAGACAATAGAACAAAATTAAGTCCTCAAAAAGCCCTTTCGTGGCCCAGGCACAAGGAGTTCAAACCATGGCTTCCCCCATGTAAGTTTGCATATTAATTTGATGTATTTACAGTTATTGAGTCATTCATGATCGATTAAATTTAGTATGTTATGTGAATATTGAGATTGTTCTTATAATTATGTAGTATGAGCTTTAATGTGATGTTATATTGTTTATGTGAATTGAAATCTCATTGGATTATCATGATCAAGTGTATGATGTGTATGAGACATTGTGATATACGACGAGGATAAAGAATGAAGATAGAATTATTATGTAATTTTGATATAATGAAGAATTTTGAGTACAAGTTATGTAATAGGTTATAGAGATGTATATTGTGAGTATTTGGACATTGTATGGAGTTTAATTGTATTTTTAAGGGATTTCTAAAGGACCTATTAGGAATGAATTTTTATTGTTCAAATGTATATAAACCATGTTTGTAGGCTGGATATATATATTATAGTTTTGTATTGAGATATTTAAGCATTTAAACCCTTAAGTTTTAATACAATAAAATATATTTTTTAAAAGATATCATTTCTAGCCCATTGATCTTATACCACCAACAAGAATAACTGAAAGGTTATAATAGAAATAGACCTTCTCCTCTAGGTCAAGGTCAGTTGAAGTTGTGAGATCCACCACAGATTTCAAGAACAACCGATTGCCTAAGAATGGAAGCACTAGTTCATCCTTGCTTTGTAACTGACTCTCAGCCAGATCGGCTACCAAAAACACAGATTTTCGAAGAAGCCTGATGTCACTACTTGAATTGCTCATAATGTCCTGCACCACGCAATCATGTTTGTCAAGATAACTTGCGAAGATATACTGGGTTTGGGAAATCTTGTGTAGCATGAAAAGTTCACCATCAATAAAAGATCTCCAGCTTGTGCGTAGAAAAGTTCCTGGCCATTGAAATTGTTGCTGATAAGAGCTGAAACTGCATACAATGCCTTTGTTGCCTCTTCTAAATTGCTGGACTTCACCATCTTCATCAGTTTCAGAAGCCCCCCATGATCAAGAACCTACGCAACATGGTTTCAAATCATTGGGCTAATAGCAATTGAATTTGTGAATTTGAAGCAATCCATAGAGCAGAGACCAAGACAAGGCACACTGATTGTATTAACAAATTTCAACAAAATTTACATCAAGGCTTGGAGCCAGCCCTGGTAGACACCCAACAAGAGTGCAACAGGTATATGCAAGCATCACAATTATAACCTTGATTCCAATCAATATGAAGCAAATCTAGGTAAGACTTTGACAAAGATTAAACAATGTTCAGAAATCACACTTCTTTCTTTTCTTCTCCTTTTCTATAACCTTATTCTTGCATTCTTCTCATGAAACTCATTGTTTCTTTTCTTTTCCAATTATATGAAATCTTCTTGTATCAAAGTCCAGCCAGATTTGGTCTAATTTCAAACTTTTATATTAGAACATTAGAGGAAACCATTCAAGGAATTTGGGCACTTGTAGAGGGCAATTGCACATGTAAGTATATATTCACCAGCTTCTGAACAAGTGGATTATTTTGACTGGCTTTTCCCAAAACCCAAGCAGAGGTTGTCCTGATCTCAGGTTCTGAATTGTAGAGTTCAGAAATGACAGCGACAATGCCTCCAAGTTTATCCAGATCTGCATGAACAAAGTTCGTAACATGTAAATACCAGATTGAGACCGTAAAATGCTCATCTGTAAGAAATCACTAGGTGTGGGCGTGTGTGTGTGTATGTGTGTTTTAAACTTATCCAGCAATAGCAGCCAGTCACAGATATGCACTAATCAAAAACTGCAACCGCACATTTGACACCAACAAGCCCTATCTTGCATGTGCATAACAATATTTGACTTGTAAAATAAGCCCGCTTATCCGAGAGCCCCCATTGATTAAAACAGCATTTCTGCCTCAAATATGGTAATTCATATACTCAAAGAAGCAAGAATACAATGTAGTATTATGGGCATCACTGGCCATGTGCAACACAGACCCAATACAAAATCTGTTAGGAGGTATGAGTTAGTTCAAATGAAAGGCTAAAAAAGGGCAAGGGGTAGGCCCAAAAGGATATGGATGGAAATAGTGAGAAAATATATGAGGACTAATAGCCTCACTGAGGATATGACTTTTGATATAGCAGAATGGCGAACTATGATTCATGTAGCTGACCCCAAATAGTTAGGAAAATGATTTTTAGTTTTGATGATGATAATGATTGTATACTATGTGGCTATGTATCTTTGTTACAAAGAGGGCACAAATACCTCTAGCAATCCGATTTCAAAATTGGACAGTTTGAGTTATGTCACGAAGTTCGATAAATTTTTCTTTGAATTTTGAACCTAGTCAATGACTTACAACCACCTGATTTGAAATCCGACGCACAAGAGTGATTGTGACCACCTTGTACAGTTGTACCAAAAGGAAATTGGTCACTTTGTATACTTTCCCTTAAAAATTAGTCCATAGAAGTTGAGTGTGGTGTTTCAATGGTGAGCTGTTGTAAAGTATTTGCTTCTTACCATTTGCATTGTCAATTGGCTCAACTAGAACAAGCAACGTGTTCAAAGCATGCAGACGATCTTCCAAAGATGATGAAGAATTATTAAGATCAGCTATAGCTGCTTTCATCAATTCTGCATCTGATGGCATTTTCAATTTATCCATTAATTCCTGCAGTGCATTATAAAGCAACATTACCATCCTGAGATGAAGAACCATAATGAATTTCAGTATTGATGACAAGGAGTAACCCATTGGACAAACTGCAAACAGCTTAATCTAGAAAATAGAATACAAAGGCATATCATACAAAACCTCATCCTTATTTGAAAAGAAAAAGAAAAGAGATATATAATAAAAACCTTGGCAGTACAGTAACACGTGAAATATCTTGTGACCTAAACCTCTGGATAAATAACTAGCAATAAATAGAAAAATAAAATATTCAAAACTAGGCAAGAATGCAAGAAATGCAAATAACCTGACTAACAGATACATGAATAACATAAGTTTGCACATGCTAACAGGCAACCGCAAGGTAGAAACAGAAATTCACACAAAATTCCCAAAAGATCAAGCCTTTAAGCAGGTGCAGGCAATAAAATATGAACCTAATATGAATGATGATTAACTAATGTCTCTAAGATCAAACATGACATCTTGTAGCACCCTTTGGTGAGTTCAATTAAGGGTGGTCAATAGCATGCTACCAGAAAAAAATAATGAAAGCGGATAAAAGCAACGAGAAAGGGTATCTTTTATTTTCTAGGTAGGAGACAAGCTGTGGACTCTCCCCAATCACCTCCAGTTGCAGGTTGTTAGAGATGCCATTGTTCCTAACGAGAAGTCAGCATCTAAATGAATTTTTCTCTGAAGGATGGGATGAAGATAACTTAGATAATAACGAGAAATAACTAACTCCTCCTTCATCACTCCTCCAATTGACAACATGCATCTTAGTGACCACAGAATCCACCACACCATTAAACTACAGTGATTGACCACATGGATACATAGAACCATGATGTACAGGTAGCAGCATGTTTAATTCTGAGCGAGTAACAAACCATTAGGCCCATCCACAGGAATGTGCAGAAAATTTGTATGGTTCAATAACACAAACATCCTACTGAAATTCCACTTTCACACTATTATGACATAAACACAAGCAAATGCCAAAATCATACATTACAGTTAACAAATATTGAGAATATGCAGCAAATTGCAGAAGTCAATGTGAATCAATTCCTCACAGCACATTTTTTTACTTTGCTTCAATGGGATGGTGGCAATGGAAACATATCCATTCTAGTATGTATCAAACTAATCATTATCTGCAACATATCAGTTCCAAAAACCAAGTAATATCAAAATTATTTTTCTATTTGGGTTTTACATGTCAATGTCTATCATGTTGAATATCACTGGCATGCAAGTCAAATGACACAAATTCGTAGATGTTGGGCGAATATGATACTGATAAATTGCAAAGAAGAAGAAAAAAAGGACTCTAACACGATACTTCGTACTTCTTCCATGCACATACAGTGATGAAAAGCTAGAAAGAAAGATCATAAATTTTGATAGCAAACAAACGATCTCTTTCGTGCATAGGAAACAAAACCTTGACATGGATCCAATACTAATCCTTCCTGCTTTACTAAGCAACTGTCATGAGATCATAGAAAGAGTGGCATCTCATCTTTGAACCCAAACTCACATATCGAGCCTTGAAAATAACATAAAATAAAAAATGACTTCTCAAACTGCATGTCCATCCAACAGCCTTTAAGCACGGAAATCATGGTTCAAACTAGGCATTGAATCACTTAATACCAGTATATGCAAAGATAAGCTTGTAACCCTATCATCAGGTCTCACCTTTATCTCTGTTTGCCGTTTCCTTAGTTCATTTAGGCGTTGAGCATCATTTGCCGTTTCTCTTAACTTGGCTGGATCAGAATGGCCTATTTCCACAAGAAAAAACAAAGAGATACACTATATTACAAACATAATAACACAAGTTCGCCTATGTACAGTTAGTTTCGATGGCAATGTATTTATGTATGCAGACATGCCAATGCTTAGAAACTCGAACCAGGCCCAGGCATAAATTTAATTGTCTCAGTAAAATTAAGGAAGGCAGAGAGACGAATTGGTTCTATCAACATTAACTATTGATTTCCATTAGAAAAAAATAACTATTGAATTCCACTAAAGACATTCAAATCATCAATTTCTCTCTCTAAACAAGCAACAGAGCTTCAAATCCTACGAATCTCAAAGTATAAAAGAGCGCCAAGTACAATTCCTTTAAAGCTCTACAACTTGCCACACTTAACCCCTATTGCACTGCATCATGGATCATAACATAACTATTGCAAAATAAAATCTCTGAAAGAATTTATAAGAAACACCATGCATCATACCATGACAGCTGCAAAAATAAAAGCCCTAAAAATAGATGTATAAGAAACAAATAGGAGTACGAGGAGAAGGAAATACCTATTGCCCACTGTAACATGCCCTCCAATGAAGAGAACCCGCCACTGATTTGTTCTTCGGTGGTCTCCTCGATTTTCTGAGAATTGTCCATCTCCGCCTTCCTGAAATCTCCCTCCTCCTTTTCCGTGCTCCAAAACAACCCCCCGCCTCCAATAGAAGACCTATTCTTTTCTGAAGATGCAGAGCACATTAACTTTGACGAAGAAGAAAGCAGATACGATAGAAAGACAATTAGGGCTAAGGACGACGCCGCCTTCTTCGAACTACTGCAAAAATCCATTATCAATAATTCCATTGATTGATTGAGGCCTGCTTTTCTCTTCTCTTCTCTTCTCTTCTGATGGATGTGTAGCGAATCAAATATTTTTGAGAGAAAGGAAGTCTTGCTCGTTTGGAAATCCTTCTCTCTCTTTTCTTTTTCGTTTGTTTGTTTGCCCGCGAGACTCAAAGAAAGTGCAGTATGATATGGGTGCGGTTTGTACAAGGTTTGAACTTTAGGGAAAGGCTTTTATACTTTCCTTAGAAAATCTATGCTTCCCTTATCATCCGGCTGTTCAATTTTGATCGAGGCAGCCATTTATCGTTTGATTTTAGCTTTGATGTCTTAATTTATTTTATTTTTATTTTTTTATATAAATTATATGAATATGAAATTCGGTACTTATCATCTTTTCATTGGGGCGTACTTATAAAAAATATTAAAAAAAAAATTAAAATAAAACATAATGATCAAAATATCTCTTAAATCTTTCGAAAGTATTTTGGTCATTTAATTTTATTGTAAATATTTTTTTAATATTTTCGCTAGTACGAGTTTAATAAAGGAATAGCCGTCCAAATTTTTGTTACAAAATAATTTATAGAAATAAATTAAAAATAAAATAGTATAGAAATGTGATATTGTGATTGGGGCAATCGTAGCCCTCCATTCGTAATGGAGGGTTGGATAAGGGGAAGTATATAAATTTTATATACTTAAAACCATTAGTGCAAAGGACCTGGAGTCGTGGTGTAGCACCCAGATCACAGTGTTATTGTTTTTATTCCTACCCCTTCACGTAACTATTTTGAGAAAACGAGTAGGAGCATGTCTTCTCCTTTTGAATTATTCCTAAAAAATAAAAAAATAAACCCAAACAAAAAAAAAACCTTAAATCATCCAAATTAAACGTACCTCCAAATTGTATCATAAATATAGTTTTTGTATCAAAATTTCTTAAGATGGCCTTGAGAATCCACTTCATCTCTAATTACAAAAATTTTAATCTAAAAAATGATTAAAAACAAGCATATCTATAAACACTTTAAAATCTTGAAAATAGACGGTCTAGATTAAATACGTTATTTTTAGGGCTCAATCTTCTTTTCCTTTCATATTCATACACCTTGAAATTTAATTATAAAATTTTCATATTTGTATGGCCTTATTGAGGGTATGGTCAGCATACCAATATTCGTGTAGCCAACCCTAATTAATTGAAAAAAAAAACTACGATGATGATGATGATTCATACATCTCGATGTCGAGACAATCAATTAGAGAGTGTTCCAACATCAAAATAACCTTTTATGATGATTTTAGAGACGCACCTTAATTCTATATTTTAAGGTTGCAACCTTGTCTAAACTTTTTTCTTATAAAAAAAAAAAAAAGGAATTAAAATAGTATATATATCTATATATATATCGGTTTATCTTCTCTCATTGAGCATTTGTTGCTATTATTTGAGCTAAATTATGTGTAACCGTATTAGAAATTGGAAGACAAGCACAACAATTTAAAAATTGAAATAAATCTGTTTACAATAATGAGAATTAAACAATACTAAGACTAGGAAAACTTCAAAGATAACAATACAATAAAAGTTTTAAATTTTGAAAGACACATCTCTCAAAGAATTCAAATAGTGGACAAACATCTTCTAGGTATCTTATCACTTGCTCTACAAATAACGAACACCCATATTTTAAGAGATGCCAATTCCAGGAAATACTAGTTCAGAAGAGGCATCTCCCCAAGATACCCATTTCTAGGGAGCCAAACAGGGCGCAAAATCTCAACTCTCATTTTCATATTCAACTTTTGTTCATGTGCATGTAATGGATTCCAATCCGTTTATCTTTATTGCAAGGGGGTCACAATTACTTCCAACCATTCGATGTCCAATGGAATGGCTTTAGGTGTATCACGAAGTTCAAGATTATTATTATTTTAGACTTAAAGTCCAATCAAATAATCACAACCATTCAATTTTAAGTCGGATGGTCAAAATTGATTGTGACATCCTCGTACTAAAATTAATCGCCTCTTTTACTTTTACATTATTTATTTGACCCCCTCGAGGAACATGTATTTGAAATGATTATTTGGATTTAGAAAATTGGGATCTAATTAACTATCATCATATGATTATTTTTAGGAAATGAAATTCAATATTGAGTTTTTTAACACTTAGATCTTACTGTCGAAATTTGGATGCTGCTCATCCAATTATGAGACATTATTTTTCATACTCATAGGGTGTGCATTTAAATTATTATTTTTCTTTTTAGAGTTCATCTTTTCTTATTATAAGATAAATCCATAAGATATGGACTCCTAAAAATAACCTTAGCTCCTGGGAGAGTTTACCAGCGGGAGCACGCGATCATTTGGCTTGGCCTTTTTAGTATTGTTTTTAGTGAAATGGAAACCACTCTTTATTAGTAGTGTGTTTTATATAGGGCTGAGGCCTCAAACAGTCAAAGTAAGGCGACCTTTATGCAATATAAGAATATATGTTTTGGTACTGGAAATCTTTGTGATGGCTTAAAGCTTTGGAAAAAGTTCATATAGAACCGATGCTCTAAGCAATCAAATTAGTTAAAAATTTCACTAGAAGAGGCTGTTTTGAGTCCTAAATATCATCAAATTGATAATCTTTATATCAAGATGCATAGACATGAGAAAAAATGGATTTCTAGTTTTAGAAATAGTACATCTTGTAACACATTTTTTTACCGTCATTTTTTAAGATTTTTAAGTTTTCATCGATGTGCTTAATCTACACTATTTTTTAAGCCTTAAATTTTATAATTAAAGATAAATTTATATTTGAAGGCAATCACAAAGATTTTCAATGTTGTAACCACATTTCTTGATACTATTTGAAAATATGATTTATTTTGATTCTTGACACTATTTTAAAATATGATTTATTTTGATTGTGGAGAGCTTCAACTCTATACACAAACCGCATGCTAAAACTTTATTTTCATACTTAATTATGAAATTTAAAGCTTAAAAAATATTATATATCAAGCATATCTATAAGGGAAAATTGTTTAAAACCCCCAAATATGGATTTTCTAGGCATTTTACCAAGCATAACTTTTTTTAACATCTCTGGATCCCAATAAAAGGAAACGCTAGACCACATTTGTAAAACACACTCGCGTAATCAAGGAAATCTTTCGGGAGCATGTTTCTACCCAAAAATCCCGTGATTTACCCCTTAATCAACCATAACAACTAGCAGCTAAAAAGCCGTAGCCCATCTCCCCTTTGCCAACCGATTTGGACATCTATTTAAACCCCAAAATCACAGATGAGCCCCATTTTGCTAAAACCCGTCAACCCATCTTCTTCAACCAGCAGGTGAGCCCCATCTTCTGCAACTACAATTGTATAGCTATAGTTTATTTCTAGATATCAAAGATTACCACAATTGTAGCTATGGTTTATTTCTAGATATCAAAGCCCGCAACCACAATTGTATAGCTATGGTTTACTTTCAGATATCAAAGATTACCACAATTGTAGCTATGGTTTATTTCTAGATATCATACATATTTTTTTTTTGAGTTATGCAACTATAGTTGTAGCTATTGTTCCAAAAAACAAACGGATTTGGGTTCTCTACTCAGATCAGCCTGCTTATTTTGTTGTTTGCTGATAAATTCAAAATACTTAAGTTCACTCACAATCTTCAAATCGGTGTACTTGTTTTTTTTTTCAGAACTTCTTTAATTAATTGACCTATTCAATCTCCTCCAATCCCCCAACATAATTTATCCTAAAATATATCTCATTTAGTCATAAAGCCTTCTTGGTTACTACCAAAAATTCTTCAAACTTTTTTTTTTTCTTTCGAAAGTTTTATGGAGAGAGATGATTGAAAGGCTTTAACAAGAAAATAAAACGTAAAAAATATGATGACTTATCATAATAAAAGTATATATTCCAAAGTGTTAATATCTTGAAAACACGTGATTCCAAGTCAAGAGGCAAAGACATACAAAAGGTGTGGCTAATTCTTTATGCCTGATGCAATTATAACGTTTAAGATACACACTAATAAAGATAAAGTTTAAGCTACATATTAATAGGGATGGTATGATAAAACCAAAAAAATAATAAAAAATGTTGGTAATATATTTCCCATATTTCTTTTTATGCAGGTGATGTAAGGTGCTGTATTACACAGCAATGTATATTACGCAGGTGATGTAAGGTGCTGTATTACACAGCAATGTATTACGCCAGTAATATATTTCACAGACAATATATTTATAGATATCCAACTGCCCCTAAAAGGAAAGGTATTTTCATAAAAAAAAAAAAGAACTTTTTGTATTTTTAGGTATCCAAGGGCTCCCCTAAAAAGAAGGGTATTTTCATAAAAAAAAATAAGAATGAATAAACTTTTTGTATTGAGAGTATTAGCTTTAGTTTTGAAAAAAAAATATGTTAAAAAAAAGTTAAGCTGGGTAAAATGTCAAAAAAAGTCCATATTTGGGATTTTAAGCAATTTTCGCTATCTATAAAAATCCAATCATAAATATTGAAAATAGAAGTTTAAAAAAACATTAGAAGATGGACTATTTTAACGACGAAATCCATTTTTTATCGTAGGGTCGAGATGGATTTGAGGATTTTTAAACATCAAAATATAACCTTTTATAGTGAATTTTTGAGGTGCGATTTAATTTAATTGAATTGTTTAGGGCCTCGCCCCATTTAAGCTTTTTCCCTCACTAAAATCTCAACTCTCTCTCCGTGCTTCAAAAGCGAACCTCTCCCTCTAAAATCTCGCAAGGGCTTCTCTCTCCAAGAAGGGGAGGATCGCAAGCCGGTAGGAAGTGACAATGGTGAGGCTAACGGCAGATTTAATTTGGAAATGCCCTCACTTCTTCAATGCCGTTGGCGACCGGGAGCTTGATCTTCGAGGTCACATTCCAATCACTGCCTTCTTTATTTGCTTTCTTCTTTTTTCCTCTCTGCAATTTTTTATCTTGCATCTTAAGCAATTTGAAGTTAGGGATTTTTGCATGCTGGTACCATGGGAATGAGAAACTCTAAAAGATAATGCTGTTGATGGGCGGAACAATTTGATTGAAGCTTTACCTTGAAGCCCTGTGATTAACACTGAAAATGTTGAAGTATTTAGAGCATAGCTCTGATGTTCACCATGGCGTCAAGGATTTGGATGACTTCCTTATGTCTCATAGCAATCAGAATACACCAGTAACCTTGCTTTTTTGTTTTGAATAAGGTTATCTTTTTAATGAAAAAAAGAATTTACATAGTACTAATTCTAGAGTCGCCATCCGACAAGTTGGGTGCTCAGACTAAAACTGTTGCCAGATAGAAGAAAAAGTGAGAGAACAGTAATACTGAGGAGAGAGAAACAACTAAAAAGGGGGGCGACAGCCCAAAAAACCAGAAGCTAGGTGCTACAGGAATCTGCCATATAGAAGGAGAAAGCACTTGTGGATGCATAATAGGTCTTGCGAGTCAACCACACTTGGAGGGCGAGGGATTGAAGCCAAACACTGTCTTGTAATACCTCATAAGCATCCACAGGAGAAAAAATGCAGAAGAGAAAATTCGGGGGCTTCTGATAAGCTGAGTGTGAGAATTCTATTCGTCGAGCAATGGGGGAGCTTGTTGCCTAGGAGTTGTCTGTAAAAACCAGGCAATCTTTTAACCTTAGAAGTATGTGCTTGTAGATTCAAGCAGAAGTAGCATGAGAAAGGGCTGTAGGGGGAAGAGAGAGGAAGAAGAGAAGATTTTAGGGTTGAAGAGATAGAGAAGAGTGGGTTGGGGGAAGAGGTTAAGGAAGAAGAGAAGATGTAACCTTACTTTTTCAGTTCACATAGACTCTCTCCTCTCTCTCTCTCTCTCTCTCTCTCTCTCTCCCTTCAGTATTTTAGTCATAAATTTAGGTTCAAAGTTGGAGTTCGAGTAATTAAAGAGACTAACTCCTTAATTTTTTATTTGGTGTTCTTTCTATATGTTTTCATGGACACTAAACTTGGATCTCATTATTGTCAACCCAAGAAACACTAAGTCCCTGAAAGCTCAGAAATCCAATAAACTTGACTACCTCTATCTCAGACTCTAAAATTTTCCATGAAACCAATTAATTTGGTCAGGGTGTCAGTCCTAAACGAAGACCCACTTATTCTAAATTCTTAAGTCTAACCCACCAGCAGAAGATGTCAATCTGCAAGTGTAACCATGTGCCTATAATTTCTCCCAAGGTTTTAGAGCTGGCCTCAGCTGAGTCCAAGTGGACTCGGCCTATGTACGTCCCAAAAAATGTTTAAAAAAAAAGCAAAAAGTTTGTGAAAAACAGCTAAAGATAGGAAAAGAAAAGAAAAAAAAAACTACAAGAGGTAAAAGAAATCACTAGGAGACTAAAGAAGATAAAAAATCTATAAAAGATGGATAATTGAAAATTTTGATTCATACCTTGAATCTTTCAGAAAAATTAAAAGAAAAGGAAAAAATTATGAAAGTTCCCAGTTCATCTTAAAAATCATCAAAATCATCTAAAAACATATTTCTAAGCAATATATTGGTTTTCTCCACATTTTTTGGTGTTTTTATTTTATTTTATATTTTTAGCTATTTTTGGTGGCCACTGAGTCGGGCTTCCCAACTTGTGCCCAACTCGCCTATTGGGTGATGCTGAGTTACTTGGTCGAGTCCTATTGGGCTCGGATGAGTCTAAAAACACTGATTTCTCCTTACTATGTCAGTTTGATACAAAATTATTGTTTTTGGCCTAGTAGTATCTATACAAGATTAGGAATGAGCAAATATAAAAATGCACCATTAAAGGGGAAAGATCAGAATATGTTATCTCGCATGCTATGTAACACAGACACGCATGTGAAACATGTTTTGGCATGCCCAACTATCTAAAGGTGTTAGTAGAGACATGAATAAGACCTCTAGACATCATGTTTGAAATTGTAGATGTGCGTCCAAAGTCCAAACAGTCAACATGGGTATCTTCATTAAATTTAATTTAAGTTACGCATTCTTTTATATATTAATATACTAGTGGGCTATCGAATCTACAGATTTAAATACTTTTTTACAGCTTTTTTTGTTATTATTATTAATTATCTCATGGTTAGAATTATGTTTTGCGCATACAAAGCATCTTATGTGGACCTTTTGTTTTTTGGACACTTGCTTCACTAAAATTGTTGTTTGATGCTAACTATATATGTTTGTGTTCGCTAGGTAATAAAATTGCCGTGATAGAAAATCTTGGTGCAACAGAGGTAAGCTTTTATCTTGTCATCTATATCAGATTATTTATGTTGCATGCTATTAGCATATTTTATTGTATTCCACTTTTATCACTTTGGCTGAAGTTTCATTAGAAAACTAAGACCACAGAAGAGCTTTTTAGGTTTTGAATCTCAAAAAATAAAAATAAAATACTATTCTGAATTTATCTTGTCATCTATATCAGATTATTTATGTTGCATGCTATTACCATATTTTATTGTATATCACTTTTAATACTTCAGCTGAAGGTTCATTAGTAACCTAAGACCACAGAAGATATTTTTAGGTTTTGAATCTATAAAAAAAAATACTAGTTTGAATTTTGTTGCATTGCCCTTCTGGTCTGATGAAGTATTTAGTTCTCAATTTTTTTTTTTCACATTGTATGCTTCCTCCAATATTTGATGCTCTTAAAAATTTATTGAATGGCTGGCCTAATGTTCAATCACTATTGTACAAATTTGGTATTTAGTTGTAAGTATTGGACCTATTAAGGTTTCCAATGAATTTGCAATCTTGGTCAGCCACATTATGCATGAACTGAATTTGTGAACCTCTCTCTCCTTGATAAGCCGTGTCGATCAAAGTGAAAAAGCATGCATTTATAAGCTAATATTATAGCACTTAAGGAGGTAGAAAATCCAATAGTTCCAAACCCTTTATTCACTGCTTCACTGGCTTCCCTTTAAACATCTCTTACATTGGCTACGGCAAAAACAATATGCATTTATAAGCTCAATTTTTTTCTTATTTTTTTTAAATTAGGAAAAGAGCCCGGGTTTAATTGGCTAGTGATCGACGATTTGCAGCACTATGTCCTAAGCTCAATTCCTACAAAGGGTAGGGGCCCTCTCCCCATTGACTCACCCAAAAAAAATTTCAGGGAGAACCAGAGTTATATGGATTGGACAAAATGAACTTGGCAGGTAAGTTCGATTTGGATGAGGTTCATTGCTCTTTAGTCTAGTGCGCCTCATCAGCATCATCATCCTAGCCTTATCCCAATTAATTGGAGTCGGCTAGTCTGGTGCGTCTCTAAGAGAAAAATAATATTACCAAATTGGGTAGAACTGGAGTTGATTTAATTGGACGCTCAGCTCTTAGAGGAACCCAAAAAACTTGTACCTATGTGTAGTGCACATTTGATAATCCACTTCATATTTTGAGCCTCATCTGTTATGAAATAGTTGGCGTCAGTTCGTTTATGTGGTCCATCTGTTTTACAGATAAATGGGATGAAACTAACATTATAATAAATCCTATCAGTTTACACATGCCATGGAAATTGTATAAATTTCCATCATTCACCCACTGAATATCTAGTAAAGTTTCTGAAATAATACCCCTGGAAATTCATCCAAAACCATGTGCTTTTATCCATGACCATGCCAAACATTTGCATCCATGCATACCAACCCTCACGAATGCTTCTTGTTAGCAATTCTCAGAAACATGCAGCCTTTTGATCACCTCATTGTCAAGTCTCCAAGATCAGCAAAGGCCCATCTTTCCAAGAATAGGGATTTCCTGAAGAGCCTTTTTTTTTTTCTTATTATTTTATTTTATTGGAACTCTAGGATCACGTCACACTATTGATCATTCCTTTTTGTATCTTAGTCATTGTATGTATCCTCCTGTCATTTCTCATTGTACATTAGAAGCCAGTATTTTTTTTCTTTGAAACAAAATTTTATTAGCAGAGAGGAGTTCACAACAAGAGTATGCACAGAAACAGAGAGACAATGGGGTGTCTAGATAATGACCTTAACCATCCACATTACATACACATCAATGCTATTAGAACCTCACAGTTAGTCTATTTCCAGTTTCCTTCCCTCAACTACGACATCCAATATCTTTTTGCCTCTGAAAAGTAGTTTATCATTTTAATTACTTTCTGATCATTATCCTCATCTCCTGTCTACAAGGCCATTAAAACTGGAGAGAAGCCACTGCTTCTCTGCCGTGACATTACTATATTTAATAAATACTTAGTAATTTCCAATCTAAACCTTGTCCTTGTCCTTAATATTTATGTTGATACCATGTTTGTGATATCACTCATAACTTGCCTTAGATACTTGATAATTGATGTTCTTTTATGGGCAAGACGATCCCTCTTTTTAATTTTTTTCTTGACTCAAATTCTTCATTGACAAGCCTTCATGTTCACTATAGTGTTCTTTGATATATATGCATGAGTTCAATGTTTAGTGGTGTTATCATCTCCTAATCATATGTGTATGCTGATGTTTTTTTTTTTTGAAAATTGTTAACAATTGTATTGCTGTAGAGAGAGAGTACAGTAATGTGTTCATCCGAGAGTGCCCTCGGACTCTATGTGTATGCTGATGTTATACTTTATTTTTCTATAGGATCAATTTGACTCTATTGATTTGTCGGACAATGAGATTGTCAAGCTTGAAAACTTTCCTTATCTAAGTCGTCTTGGCACCTTATTTATCAACAACAACAGAATCACTCGAATTAACATTAATCTTGGAGGTGAGATTGCTTAAAACTAAACCGATTACTTCTCTCCAATATGCTTCATCAACCGATTACTTCTGACCGTTGTTAGTTTCCTTTCTTTTATTGTCATTCTGAATTTCCATCGACTCAATGATTACTTGTAAATGTGCAGCATACTTACCAAAACTTCACACTCTGATTCTTACGAACAATCGACTTGTAAACCTGGTGGACCTCGATCCTCTTGCATCCTTACCAAAATTGCAGAACCTTAGCCTGCTGGACAACAATGTCACAAAGAAACCAAACTATCGATTGTATGTGATATACAAATTGAAGAAGCTGTGGGTTCTAGATTTCAAGAAAGTGAAGCAGAAGGTGACTTCATTCTTTTGCTTCAGGTTGATTTGTGCATAACTTGCTGTGCATCCTTTATATAATTTACAGATGTATTTCACTGGGTTAGTGTGATAATGGGCAATAGTATGATCCTGATGTTTAAGCAGATTTTAATGTGTCCTTGTCTTTTGCTCATTCTACAGATGACCTTATCTGGAATGTCTTATTAGTCGTCCATGCTTCTTTTGTCTCATTTCCTTCTGTCTATTTGTTTTCTCCCGTTATGGATCCAAGCATCTTGGTATGCCTGCTATCAGAAAAGTAGAAAAATATTGCACTGTACTTAAGTTCATTTTCTTAAATTCTATATGTAGTTTGGACTATGGGTAGAAAATATGGTGTGACTCCCCTTTGCCCCTTTCATAGATCCCATTCGCAGGTGTCGACATTTTGTGAATTATTTGTTTATAACTTCATGTTGGGATTTTGGAACATTTAATTATGTGAACCATTGGAATTCGTTAACCAGCCTTAAAAAATTATGTGAACCTGGAATTTTGCAATACTTAAGCTTATCCATGTTCCTAACAAAATGTTTTGTGGCTCTTGAACTCTCTGCCTTATTCTATCTTCCTGAGAACAGGAGAAAATGGAAGCTGAAAAACTTTTTGCATCAAAGGAAGCAGAAGAGAATGCTAAAAAAGAATCTGTGGCGACATTTACACCCGGTGAAGTTCCAAATATTTCGGAGGTTCCTAAAGAAGAGCCTCCCAAAGTTTCTGGTCCTACACCAGAACAAATTATTGCTATCAAGGTATTATACATGTTATGGCTCACATTGAATCATATATTTGTAGAGTAACATGCAGATTTTACATGGGATTTTTTCTAGTAAACATTTGAAACCTATTAGTGTAGGCATAATGAATTTCCTTCAGTCTGCCCCTTTCAAAAACACCTGCTTAACTGCAAGAAGGTTTTCTTGATAAATCAAAATTCAATCGTGTGAGTTATTCTAAAAAAAATAAAAAATAAATTCAATAATGCGAGTCATTCGCGATACTTAAAGTGCAACTTGTTTTATATGACTTGAGTCTCTCTTTCTTCTAATCAAAATTTCTTTCGAGTATTTTCTACTATTTTCTATTTCCAGCCAAAGACATGGCGGGCGCTAGTTGCCAGGAGGTTTAAGTGTTCCCTTTCATATTTTCAATGGGAATAACATGGGTGTGAATGGCTACTCTTTTTCTTGTCAATCACTGGTTTATTTATCCTTCAGGTTAGCAGTTATCCATTATTTGTTCCTAAATATGTGTCCCTAGATTTGATGGTTTCACATGCACTTGAAGAAGTTAAGAGATGATCCTACACCATAGTAATCCATCCCCTCATCCTTCCTGCTTGCACAATAAAATTCCTATAACCTCCCACATCCACATCGATATTATCCCTTCACGAACCTTCCCCCAATCATCCAAACCTCGACAACTTTCTCCAACCTGCACATTTCTTTTTCCCAATGAACAAGGCAAAACCTCCCTGCAACTCAGACCAGAAGCAAGCCTACCATTACCAAAGATTTCAAATGCTATTTCTTAGTTCATTCATCCATGCGAAGCCCCAAACCATAGTTGTTGGGACCGGGAGTAGGATTGAGAATAGGATGGGGAGCAGATGATTGTCAATGGCTAGAAGATCCCTATGGTTGGGAGTGCCATCCATAAAATGCATATGCTAGGGGTTGAGATTCCCAGCCCTATATATACTCATAAAAGTGGGGATCTCTTTATAGATAGCCAGCAAGCAATGCAATTATATTAAAAGCATATTTGCAAAACTATCAATTTGACCTATAGATGTTGAAAATATTTGCTCAAAGATATAATGAATATTTTCAAAATACCAAATGTTCATTGCTCCCAAAAAATAAGGGAAATAAAATCTTTTTAAAAATATTTCCTCAACCTTACCAAATAAAACTTGTAGAATAAAAATAAAGACAAGAATATAGGAGGGGGCATCCCACCACATAGGTGTGACGTATGGACCCTATGGGTCCCACATCCCGTACATGTGGATGTGGACACCATGTGGAGCTGGATCCAAGGGCTCGCAGGTGTTCCTCTTTGTCGCTTTGCAGTTCCAGAATTTTCAAAAACTTTTAAGGTTATTTACAGCTAAAAATAATTATGAAATTCTAAAATTTTCTAAAATTCATAGAACCATTTTTTACATAGAAAAGAAAATATCTAGAAATGGACTAATACCAATGAATCAAGAAAAGTGACCGTTAAGGAACTCTACTCGACCCGATAACCATGGTCTTCAATCATCTTCCCAAACCAACCTAACTAGACCCATGACCCATAGTCTCATGTGGGAGCTCATAATTGACTCATCAGAGATGGCCAATAAATAGTGGAACCACCATCCGGGATTATAGATTACAGGTTCGCTCCCTTAAGAGCAAGTCATAGGCACATATCACTATAGTGCAAGGGGGACTTTATATGCACATGTGCTCGTAACCTTTGTACGGGTGCTTCCCGGTATTGCGGCTGTCATATGTACACCGTGTGGAAGCTTATTGAGGATTTAGCCCTCGCTCTCACATGCTTACATTCATATATAGGAGACCACAAAGTTCTCCTGACCTACAAACCATCTTAGGGCATCTCTCCCACCTAAACAAGGGATGACCCTCTAGAAACCCTCAATGGTAATGTTATATGCTGAGGGATAAGGGTATAACTAGGGCCATAGACTCCCTAACCTGAAAGAAGTGGCTATGTGAAACTCAAGGTATTAAATTCAAAAATTTTCTTCTACTTTTATTCCAAATACCTAAATTCCACTTACATGGGTCACTTTATGTTGCTGTAAATTAAAATAATACCTTAGATACAACCTAGGATCTTTACTTACATTGTCAAGAGAAATAGAAACTATCCAGGAGCTTAAAACAAACTTCATCCATAATTTTTAGCACACTACATGTTCCTGAAAATTCACAGAAATATATAAACAATACTGAAATTAATTAAAACTATTGGGAAGAGTTATTGGAAGATGCCTGTTGTTACCCTCCCAGGTCTTGGTACACCCCACACCCGATTCCCCAACCGATGACACACTTTTACTCCTTTAGGTGTTGCTGAAAATTCCGAGATGGGAAGCTATTTAGGCAAATCTTCTTCCTTTAGGGTTTTAGAGAGCTAAAAAATCAAATTAGGGTTTTTACAAACCCTATAGGAACAAATTAGGGCTGAATTTGTGAGTTGATCTCTCTTTAGGTTGGGCTTCCCCTTTCTTTTCTTCAAAATACAACTAACCTTACTCTAAGGTTTCACCATACACATATAAGAGAAGAGAGAAACATGAGAGAGAACATTTTGTCGTGGAGAACAAAAAAACTTGGGGCGTGAGAGAAGAATCTTTTTATGGGGGAGAAAAATCTTGTAATGGAAGAGGGGATTGACATTTTATTTAAATAGAAACAAATCTTTCCTATTTTGAATAGGATTCCAATCTAAGTATGCCTTATCTAATTTCCAGCTTGACCTTTAGGATAATTAGAAAATCTATAAGGTGAGAGAGATTTAATTAGAGCCATCTATTCATAATCAGCCATCATGATTTTGGTTGAAAAGATATGAGCCTTATCCTTTTAGATTTTGATTCATATCCAACTCTTATTTAAATTTTAAATATAAGTAATCTTATTATTATCTAGATCTCCCATAATCTATAGGAAATCAGATCTATATTTTAAAATTCCCTCTAGAATAGGAAAATAAATCTTCTTGAAAGATTGCCCATCCAAAATCAAATATTAAAAAATGGGGCATGCCCCCTTTTTTGCTAAACAGTTGGAGTGCAACTCTTTGCTCTAAAAAAAAATTTGGGCGTCGACCCTAGGGGGCATATGGGCCCCACATAAAAAATACACACATGTGGGATTGGATCATTAATCCCACATGTGCCACCTTAAGCTCTGAAGTTTTTTAGAAATACCCTTTTAATGTATTTTATAGCTGAAACAATATTTTAAAATTTGAAAATAATATTTTAAAATTATAAAAACATTTCTAAAATGAAAACAAAATATATTAGGAGTAAAAAAATAGCGACAATAAAGGCACTCCACTTGCCCCAGAAATCATGATTCACTATAGTTTTCTTATCCAACGCAACAAAGAGCCATGACCCACAATCTCATTTCAGGGGCTCATAATTGGCTTGTCAAAGTTGGATAATAAACAGTGAAACCATTCCTTGTGCCCCTCTTCCTGCTTCTGGTGGTTGTCCTCATACATCGGGGGCTTATTCCCCGTTTCACGCTTTCGTTATCTCCACTCCAGCTGAGGAGTCAGCCCCGCTAAAATCCAAACTTCTTGCTTCCTTGATGGGAAGTTTTCAACCTAGACGAGACGATATCAGGGGGACTGAGAGATGGGCACAACGGCACTAGGAAGAGCCAAACCTTGCTTGCCGTCGTCTCTCCAGCGGTGAAATCCTCTTCACCTTCCCCTCGCAGGAATGCGCAATCAGTGCTCAATAGGAACCCCCCTCATCTGCCTTACAAGGAGCCATCTTAAGCCTTCCAAAAAAAAAAAGGAGCCATCTTAAACCTGCGTGCTTGATCTCCAAAGGAAGGGTCTTACCGGAGCAGAGAATTTGGCTCACTGCGAGCCATATTCCCCTACACGCATGGTCTCCACCCACATTCAGGAGGCTGGCGGAGGCCTACGGTGGCCTAGTTTCAATTCGTTGGAAATCCATTGAAGTGTTACCTCTCGGTTCCATTCGTCTTCTCCTGGAGTTTCTTGATACCAATCTCATTCCGCCCTGTATTTGGTTAGAAGTAGATGACGTCTTCTTCCCGATTTTGCTCTCGTGGACTGCAACCTCTCCGCCTTCTACTGATTTTTTCAACCCTACGGAGCTCCCTCTCCCCCCCTCCAAGGGTTCGTCCCCCCCATCTTGGACCACTATTTCAAGGAAACGTCACCACTCCAGGCACCGCCACCGGCCGCTCCACCACGGATCTGCGCCTTACTGTGAGGGTCACCAATCCTTTTCTCAGAAACCGCCCTCAATAGCTGCCTGGAGACCGCGTGTCGGTCAAACGAGGCAACTTGGCAAGCAGTCTGATGTCATTCAGCCGCCCTTGCAATCTACGGTCCACCTTCCTTGCCTGGCTCGCGCCCTCGAAGGTGGTGCCTCTGTTGGCTCTCTCTTGCTGAATCAAGAGCTACTTGACTTCCCCCCACACGGCCTCAGCAAAGAAGTGATTGTAGATCACGAGCCCTTTGCTCTACAACTTTCGTTGCGCTACTCGGTAGAGCTCGGCCCGTCGTCTCTTCGGCCTTACCTCCTTTTGGACAACTAGTCCCTCTTGCCTAAGGGTATTTCTCGGCCGGCTTAGATCCCCTGCACCCCTCCCGATCACTCGCCACTTGTCATCAGTGCCCTTACCTCCTCCTGCTTATCGCCCTGCTTGCACGACACCTCACACCCCTCGCCCTCTCCTAACCCTTCGGCCTACGCCATCCCACCTGTTGTTCTCACCTAACCCCTTGCTCTTGCTGCCTTGGTCTTCTCGTAAGCCGCCCCCTTCATCATCCACCCATCTCCCGCTTGAAGTCGTAGTGACACTGCCCTCCACCCTCGACCCCTTTTGCGACACCTGGCCTCTTCTCGAGCCTCGCGACCATGGGCAATCGATTGTCTTTTCGGATGCCTTGATTGGCCCTCTCTCATCTCAACCTCCACCACCTTACCTTTCCCAATCCGGCCTCGGCGTCTCCTTTG